TTTATGTTTTTATTCACAATTGCATATTTTATAGATGTTGATAGAGGCATTCAACTGCATGTATACTTTTCCAAAATTAAATTTGCTTCTTCCTCTGGACAGTTAGCTTCCACAGGTAATTAATCAAATGGGAGATCATTGCATTGTGAAAGTTCACTATCTATGAAAGTTTTATTTTCATTTACATCTGTAAATGAGTCTATATATCCTTTATTGCACCAAACAGTTATGGTAGGAAATTTAAATAATGCTGAACATGCTACACATCCATAATACTACTGTGTCATTTTACTACCCATCCCAGTAAATATTCCATTTTCTGCATGCTATTTATTTTCCTGTAACTGGGATAGTTACCAGAGGCCACTGCTCAGTAAATTCTAGGTACCATCTGGTCTGAGAGAAAAACATATGCCAGCCTTTACAGAATAAGGTTTTACTGATAAAGACTTTTAAGTAGCATCTGTTTCCCATAAAGAGTAAATGGTGTTGATCCTTAAGCTGTCCAATCTCAACCAATTTCACCATAAAGAATACGGCTTTCATTTAAAGTTGGGTACTCTGGTTATAAGAAATTAGCAGTAAAGACTGCATTCCCAATAATAGCTTGCCATAGTAGGTCGGCACTTGTGTTTCCACCGCCTAAGTCTCTAGTTTACCCAGCCCCGCTGTTTCTCTCTCTCCCTCCCTCCCTCCTTTCCTTCCTACCTTCTTTAATTCCTTCTTTCCTCTTTTCCTTCCTTTCTTCTTTTCTTCCCCTATTTCTTCCTTCCTTCTTTTCTTTCTTTTTAAATTTCAAATAGTTTTATTGTCTAACTGACCTACCTAGCACAGGCAACCTTCCTAAGAAAGAATTCCTTCTAGTGACCATGAGTTAAAATTCCTTCTCATAAAAATGAACCTCCAGAAAAGCCATCTACACTTAATTACCACATCAAATTTAGTTCCCAAGGATCCCAAATCCCTCTTAGTATGTTGGAGCTGGTTTAAGTTAATACCTTAAGTATAGTTGCTACTAACTCTTTATGCTGTGAGTGCTGTTCAAGTATATATTTGGCACCCAAAATACTGATCCTCCAGAAGATTATCAGTTGAACATGACTCCTAGACGCAGTTCAGTTTAATATGCATAAGACTGCCCATACTTATTCTTGTCAAAGTTTCAAAGGCAAATCCATCAGTGATATTTGATCATCATATCAAGCAATAATTTACTCTCTTGGACCCCACTCCAATGTCCTAAATGTTCTATTTGTTTAATATTTCTTCCACATTCACATGTGATTTATTCAAAAGAGCAAAGGGGATTCCAGCCTATTAGAAATGCAGTGGTGGCACATTTTTCTTCATAGCCATACCCAGTTGAAAGTCACAATACATCCAGCTCAGCTCAAGGGTAAGATTTTTCTCCAGGCTACAACAGAACCAATACGATAAATGTAACCAACAAAATCAGATTCAAAGGAAAATTTCAACCAGTTAATATAAAGGTAGGTCATTGAGGATAATTGATGTCTTTTCAGTAAATAACCTAAACAGAGTTCTTGGCCCAATCTTGTAGCTTGACCTCAGTGCCATTCTCCTTTCCAGTGGGAGAAAATGTTAGGATCTTCTTTCTGAGCTGGCAATTACTTGGGACTACAGAATAGAGAAACAGCTGAGAGTGATTTTTCTCTTGTTCTGAGATACTCTCTTAGGAAAAAAGTGATGTGTTCATTCCCAGCATCATTACACATTTTATGCACACCCTTCTCATCTGCCACAATCCCCTATTTGCTTTCCATTTGTTACCTATTTATTACCAGATTTTACTCCTTGGGTGTGTCTCTACTGCTTACCTACATAAGGCAAACAGCTGGAATAGCCCTGCCAGGCCTTCCCCAGGAAGAACTATAAATATAAGTAGTGATGGGACCACCCGATTTGTAGGCAATGGAGAGGCACTTACAGCCAGTCCTACTTTATACATGAGATGGATTCACTATCAAGTCCATTGTTCCTTACCAGGATGCAAGTCAAATTCACCAGGATTGAAATAGTATCCTGAGTGGTGATGCCTCCCTATGCTGGGATATGCTATTATAGCCCAAACCTGATACACCTTGATCTGGCAAGATAAAATAAATTTTTTGTTGGAAAGATAAAGTTGTGCAAGTGCATCATCAAACTTCTCTTTATCCCTACAACCATTTATCAGAATCCTTCCCAATGGTTTTTCAGCTTTAAATTCACCCAATCCAGCCAGCTAGTCCTTCATGTCCTCATCATCACCAGTTTTTATCAACAGATAGTTTAATTGCCCATTCCAGTTAGTTTTACGGGGAGTGGGAAAATCAAATATTTTTCATTAGCTACTTGGCTTTTACTTTTTTAACACAAATACACAGGAGAATCATGCAATGCTGTCAGCATCTAATACAATCCTGGGCCAGCACACTCCTTTCCAACCGATCTTATGATGGCAGGACCTTTCCATCTTGCCTTCATTATTTTCTACGACCCCTGTATAATCTGCAAAATAAAGAAACATACCATTCTTTCTTTGGTATGACTTTTTTTGTTGGACTACCACTGCTGGGTATGCCTCCTTTCTGAGCTCTGGTTATTTGCCTTTATTGACTGTGATCATCACCATGTCACCCACCCCAGCAGTGGAAAGTCTGTTCAGTTGCCCTTTGATTCCCTTCACAGACATGATACAGAGATTTTTGGTTCCTGTGTTGTCAACACAATTGATCATGGCTCTTATCGGAAAACCCAGGGAATTCCAGCATTTCACACTGGAGGACCCACCACATCCTTGCTTAGACATCTTGAATGTTGAAAAAGGGCAGAATGACTCACTTCAGTTCTTGATCAAACTGTTGCTATATTGGTGATGCAGAATTTGATAAGTCCAAATGATGCTGAGTCTCTTAGTTCAGTTTTGAACATAGGCAACAAGATATGTATACTCTGATTCGAGAAAATACAACCTAGGAAACTGAGCTTATTCACATTCTGTTGTTCCGCATCTTGAATAGTGTCCTAGGCCAGGGATCCCCATCCCCCAAGCCACAGACCAGTATGAATTTGTGGCCTGTTAGGGACCAGACCACACAGCAGTAGGTGAGCAGTGGGTGAGCGAGGGAATCTTCGTCTGTATTTACAGCTGCTGCCCATTGCTCACATACTGCCTAAGCTCTGCCTCCAGTCAGATCAGCGGTGGAATTAGATTTTCACAGGAATGTGAACCCTATTGTGAACTGCGTATGTAAGGGATCTAGATTGTGCCCTCCTTATGAGAATCCAATGTCTAATAATCCATCACTGTCACACATCACCCCAAGATGGTACTGTCTAATTGCAGCAAAACAAACTCAGCATTCCCACTGATTATACACTATGATGAATTGTATAAGGATTTCATTATATATTATAATGTAATAATAACACAATAAAGTGCACAATAAATGTAATGTGCTTGAATCATCCCAAAACCACCTGACCCAGCACTCACTGGTCTGTGGAAGAATTGTCTTCCATGAAACCAATCCCTGGTGCCAAAAATGTCGGGGACCACTGTCCTAAGACATTGCTGCACCCAAAGTATAAGCAAAGTCAAAGCCCAACATTAATTTATTCTAGTCAGAACCCAGTTGAAGACACCTGGGGCTACTCGTAAGGTTTCTATGTAGTCTACCTGTGGTTCTTTGCTTTCAAAGAATCTTACCAAAAGCCATCTTTTAGAAATTCTCTGTTAGCATTCCGAACACTGTGTTACTACATTAGCAGTTTCCCTAAAGGAGTATGTCATGATTCCAACCAATGTTTATAGCTTGAAAGACAATATCTCTGTTTATTTCGTGTCCCCAAATAGAGACATCCAAGGAATGGACCAGTATATCAGTCTTTGTATTCTAATCCCTTATGAGCCAGTGACTAAGCTTTATCTGGTGGCCATTAACATGATCCATTTGAATTCTTCCACAGAATTACTACAGATTTTCATAATTTAATTCTCCTCACAGTGTATTTTTAATTGACTGATCATGTGGATCTCATATGCACTAAATACAAGGGCATTAACCACATCATGAATCAAAATAGCAAGCATTACCTCAGATGCGTCAAAATTGTCCTATTCTGTCAGATACACTGCCTTCAATTTTGTCCATTTTATGGACCTAACTTTGCCTTCAACTAAGGTTTACCATCAGCAAGGTAACACTCAGAACAGTAGATACCCTGGCTAATAACTAGGCTGGGGCATAAAGGGGACTTCTGAGATGCCTGCTGGTGAAGTTCTGTTTCTTATCTGAGTGCTAGTTTCTCAGGTTTGTTAAGTTTATAAAAATGCATCGAGCCATATACATGAATCATACAGCTTTTGTGTTTATACTGTATTTTAATAAAAAGCTTTTTAAAAGTAATTGCTAATAATTTTAGATGTATTAATAAGACTTGAATTAAGATGGCTTAAGATTATCAAGGATGCTAACCTGAGAGAATGATAGCAACACATAAAGGAAGTAATGAAGGGGTGAATGTATGTGTGAGAGAGAGACAGAGACAGAAATAGAGAGACAGCTAGAGAGAGAGAGAAATAGTCAACAGCTTTTAAATCCCCAGATTCAATCATTTCTGAAGCCAGTTTTATGCCCTTTCTTTGGTTTGATTAGTTGATCCAATACTATAATCCTCTTTTTTATTCACATAGTTCAGGGTGAATGTTGTCACTTGTAACTAAAATAGTCATAACTATAAAGTAATCAAGCTATAGCCTCTTTCTGTTTTAGTCTTACGGAATTCTTATGAATATTAAGTACCACATTTGGTAAGTATAAAATATTAAGCAAAAATGGCTTTAGGTTAAAGAATACAACATTAAGAAGGGATTCATACAGACCAAAATCACATATTTTAGAAATAAAATCAGAAGGCAAAATTAAGGTGAAAGCAGTGAATTTTAGAAGATACTGACAAATCATAATTTTTCCAAAATCACACACACTCTCAAGTTAGACCCAAGTTTTATAAGAAATTTATTTTTTCACAGATACAGAACATAAATCCAAGAAAAATTATTATTATTTTTCACAATTATGACTTTAAATCATGCTATCTCTAGTTATTCACAAGTACTACAATGTTCTATGCATTTCTTCATCCTAGACATTAATAAAACACATCCCTTCAGTCTTAGTTACTTCTCTTTGGTCTGTTTTCTCCTTTTGGAATTTTAATCTTCTGTGATATGAAGAAATTTATGTGAACCTTTCACATATCAATTTTCTTCCCTGTGCACACTTGATAATTACCTTTCTTTGATTCCCTGAGAAAAGAAACACAAAATATTCTTAGTGGATTATCTGAGGAAAAGCAACCAGAGGGAAGAGGAATATTGGGACACTGGAGATCTCAACGAACGCAATATTAGCAGCACATGTACCTTGAGGAAGAGAAGGGATGGTGAAACCAAGATGGTAGAGTTAGAGCAACGAAGTTAGTGACATGAGAGTTTCCCAGCAATTTGAGAAAGAGAGAATTGGAAAGGATATGATATTCTGAATTCATTTCCCAAGCACTAAAATAAGATTTGAGTATACTAAACTGAAACCTCTGTCAAATCTCTAAATGGAACAGTGCAGCATGTACTATGCACAGATTGTTAAAAGAAAGTTGATGTAATACTAAATTCTGTGGCCATTCCATAAAAGGACATACCTCTACCTAGCAAAGGCCACACTGCATGAAGAAGGACTAAGATGAAGGAGAGAAACAAAAAGGCAAATCAAAGAAAGACGGGAGCGTAAGGTCCTAAGGAAGGAGCAAATAATCAAAGGTCGCATCTGATGAGGAGCAATGCTGATCCATTCCAGTTCTAGGTCCTAAGTAAAGAAACATAGTCTGAGAAAACAGGCCAGGGATACAGCTTGGGATGTTCAGAGAGTGGAAATGACAGAAGTGGATTATTTTAAAGCTTTCATCTCAAGACAAGAGGGGAAAAAATGTAGTACAGATTCTCTTAGGATGCACTCCAGGAAAAGAGGGAAATGTGAGGAGGGAAAAATGCATCCGGACAGTGGGTTAAAGAGCAGGACTAATCACAGGGCAACAACCCACAAAAAGACTGAGAGCTGCCAGGTAGCTGACAGATCCAGGCAGAAAGTAGCCAACTACCTGACTCCTTTCAAGCTTCCACACCACCAAACACGTCTACCTGTTTCTCAAGAGGCAAATCCTCTAAGAAGTCATCTGCAGCCCATAGCATTCGTCTCAGAGCAGAAAGAATTAGAACATCCTTTACAGGGTCCAGCTCCCACTCAGAGGAATAATTGCTAACCACCGAGATGTCAGAAAGAGCAAATCCAAGTTTTCTTTGGACTTCCTCTAGCTGCAATACAGAAATTAAAAAGACATTGGAAAACAGTGAAAAATATTATTTTATGTCAGTATAAATTACAAAAGCAATATCAAAATGTAAGAACTTGACAATAATTTCCCATTGGAAAAAAAATGGAGATCTGGTCTCACAAAGTACTCTTGAAGAACTTCACATATCAAGTTCTAATGTCACTGGTAATAGTAATTTGGAATACATGCAGTGGATTCTAAATGATTTAGAAGCAAAAATTTTAAGACACCTGTGCTACAGTCCATACATTTCCTGTTTCTTTTAAAAGACATTCTCTGGATAAGTAGATTTTATTAGACCAGTTTAATGTTTGATTCTTGTTTAGACTATTTTACCTCTAGAACCAAACTGCCTAGGTTCAAAATATTTATCTGTCACTGCTCAGCACTGTCAATAAACATTGGCAAATATTTACTCTGTTTTCTTTGTTTCCTCACCTGTAAAATGCAGTAATGATAGTACCCATTTCATAGGCTTATTATAAGGACTAATTAAGAAAATCTATCACATACTTAATGCTCAGCAGATATTCACTATCATTGCATTCCCCCAACTGGTGTTCCCACTTCCAGATTCCTTTTGATTCCAATCTGTGCACAGTGCCACATTAATTTTTCTGAAGATCATAACTTTGATTGACTTTGATCATATCATTACTCTTTCAAAAAATTGCTGTGATTCCTCATAATGCTCCTAATTAAATAAAATTACTTCATGCAAATGTCGCCCATTTTATCTCCCCCTACAAAGATCCAGCCCTTCACTAACCTGAACTCCACGTTTCCCAAACATGTTGACTTTTCCTCCATTAATATATTGTCTTATGCTGAATTTGTTGGCCCTTTTTGTCTCTTCATTTTCTGAAATGTTTATTCTCCTTGAAAGCCACTTCCCAGTGCTGTCCCATTGATGAAATCTTCCCGAACCCCTTTAACACTATATTTTTCTTCTCTAAACTTTTAAAGCACTTTATTTTTCATTGTTTCATGATATTTATCATTGTCAATCATAGATAATTTCTTGTCAACTTTTTCTTAGCCCACACTCCCATCCCCTCACCCCCATCTATAAAATTGTAAAATGTTTAATGTGGGGGAATTTTTTCATGATCTGCGTAGCTGATAAGAGACTGGCTCAATCTTAAAGATAATCAATAAACATTTATTGAATTGAATCTAGTTGAATTAAATTGTAATAAATGAACTTACCCATGTCAGTGTAAAGAGAGACAGTTAGCCTTCTGTATCCATGGGTTCTGCATCTGTGAGTTCAACTAAGGCTCAAAAACAATTGAAAAAAAATGGCTGGGTGCAGGCACTCATGCCTGTAATCCCAGAACTTTGGGGGTCTGAGGCAGGCAGATCACCTCAGGTCAGGAGTTTGAGAGCAGCCTGGCCAACATGGTGAAACCTCATCCCTACAAAAATACAAAAAAATTAACCAGGTGTGGTGGCACATGCCTGTAATCCCAGTTGCTAGAGAGACGGAGGCAGGAGAATCACTTGAACCCAGGAGGTGGAGGTTGCAGTGAGCCAAAATCATGCCACTGCACTACAGTCTGGGCAACAGAAACTCCATCTCAAAAAAATAAAAAAATAAAATTTGAAAAAATATTTCATCTGTACTGAATACGTACAGGTTATTTTCTTGTCATTAATAATTAAAAATAGAGTAGAAAAACTATTTACATAGCATTTAATTTGGGTTAGGTATCATAAGTAATCTAGATATTATTTAAAGTATATCAAAGGATGTACATAGGTTATATGCAAGTACAAATACTATGCCATTAAGCATCCACAGATTTTGGTAGCAATGCAAGTTCCTGGAACCAATCTGCTGCAAATACCAAAGAACGACTGTATTCAACTTTTAAATCTTGGGAAATGGGCCCTATTTAAGTAATTTTTATAATTCTTCTTAAACCCAGTAGCTCCTTGTTTTTATTTTTATACACACTAGTATGTGATTGTAGTAACATACCCCAGAAAATGTGTTTACGAAGGGCATCATTCATTACCTTGGACCTCAGAGGCACACATCTGTCTATTTCTATAAGGTCACCTTTTGTAATCAGATCCATGCTATCCACATGAGTGAGCAAAGCCACGTGTACCACACCTATGCCAAACAGAATTGTTTGTATCATTTTAGAGAGCATCAGTATTTTCAAGTTACTTAACTATCAGTTATGCAATAGGCAACCTGTGGAACAATTTCAGATTTGGAAAGATCCCCTGCACCTCGGTCACCCTCATCTCCCCAGAAAACTCCCCTGGACTACTTATTAGTATCTGGAATTTCTCTGACATGGGGAGTCACCTTCACTGCCTTCCATGGTAGCAAATGAGGACTCAAATGAAACCACCTCTTGGAAGAGGTAACTAAAATTTATGCCACAATATTGCTGATTGATTTCATATTCTGTGCAGAAGTTGTGTTTTGACAGAGACTAAAGACCAAAGGCCTCTAATAAACAAGATGGGGGAGAAGAGTCCTCTAGAAAGAGACAGAATGTGTCAAAGTATCACAAGTAAACTTCCTTTATTTCACAATACTAGCAATCATCTCTCTGCACATCTCCTCTTTGCAAAGTTTTAAATTTCAGCAAGCAGGTAAGTTGATCACTCTCTGCTTCAAAACCAAGAACAGTGATAAACTGGCTCTTTCTCATTCCAAATGGACATGACCAAGAAAAGCCAGAATGGGTCACCCTAAATCCCTGATCCTTGTTACCTTCTCCAAACTCTTTACCTCTCTCTACCAAACATTTTACCTTCCAGTTTCTTTTCCTTACGACATGTTTCTTTTTCATTTTCTAATTCTTAAAGCTCAAGGCCCAATCTTTGTCAATAAATGCATGCCAGGACATAGGGGTAGCAGGTAGTTTGGATTGTACTACCTTTCATATATACATTAATTTGTTTTAATTCTTAACAAAAAAAAAACTCTCTAAGGTAGGTACTATTATTATACTAATTTTATTGATTAGAAAATTGAGGCACAGAGAGTTTAAGTTACTTGCACAAAGTCATATAGCTAATGAAAGCTCAATTTCATTGAAGCATGCTGGTAGACTAGGGAAGACTGAAATATGCAATGACTGAAGTTCTTTATCCTGTCCAAAATACATTCTAAAACACAGTCTAGTCAATTACCCTTAGTAGCAAAGTGGAATGAGACTCACCAGCGTTTATCAACTCCCTTCGAAGTCTTCTGATCTTTTCTATCATTTGAGAGGAGAAGTGTTCAATAGAGTTGACATCAAATACAAATGCCACACAATGAATTCTGTCCTTCAGCGATGGGGAATCAATGTAGTCATGATGACTTAATTTGATTGATTCCATGGGATTAAACTGTAAGGTAGACATAAAGCAACATATTAATTCAACAAATGTTTATGAGCACAAACTATGTACCAGGCACTGTGCAAGTGAACTGAATGGTAAACAAAACAGAAAAGTCTCCTATAGTGTGAGGCTAACAATCTTAATAGAGAATACAGGCATTATGCAAGTAAGCTAGCAGTCCTTTCACCTTTAATGTAAGGCATCTGTGAGGAAAGGACATGTAATCTGAGAGCTAAAATATCAGGAGTTCAAGAGGATAAGGATATGGCTGAAAGTGTTCTAGATAAGAAAGGCAATCTGCCCACAAATGGAAGTAAGAGAATTCAGAAAAAAAGCTGGTACCATCAAGCACAGCGCAAGGAGGAAAGGGGTTCAAGGTGAGATGACTTTACTCTTCAGCTAGCAGTTTCTCTGTTGGGAATCTGTCCCACTGATATACTGACAAAAATACATAATGATATATGCAAAAGTTATTAACTGCAGCAACATTTGTAGCAGAAAAATGCCATATCAATTAAACTTTGTCTGATACGTCAATAAAGCAGTTTTCTACCACTTCTCAAAGAATGGAGTAGCCGCAAATTTATATGTACTTTGTTATATATTTAAAAAGGCAAGAAAAATATAAATTTTGTATGGTTACTAATAGGAAGAGGGGAGAAATTTATTTGAAGGGGCAGAGAAGGAAGATAGATTCTTTGAATATACATTATTTTGTAGATTTGATCTTTGAACCATATAAATGCTAAACATAAACATAAAACCAAATTAACTTTGAAAATCAGTTCCTAAATTTAATTGAATTAGTGAACTGTTGCGGTTATAATACAGGGATAAACTATTTTGATTGACTTCAAAATACAATAATTTGTATACCCCTCCAAGGATACATGATACAACCTAAATACACTATAAAAATCTGCTAAGATGTTTTAATTATTTCCAGTTTTGATTGTGATTATATGAAATGATACTAAGTGTGACTATGATGAGATTGTTCATGGTACTGATAGAGCTTTTATACTGAGGTTCCTGTAGATGATATATAAGATAAAGGAAATGAGTTGTGACATGATATTCTGTTACCGCCACTGTTTTTGAGAATGAGAATTCTCAGTTTGGGAGAAAGCAGATATACAAGTGATAGAAAAGAGAGTAAGTAAAAACTTTCTAGTACTGAATTTGAATAAGAAGTTTTTGTATAAGTTTATAAATTTTTTTTCATGAAAATGTATATTACTTAACTCTGCTTACTAAAAAAGGCAAGAAACAATGACCAGCCAAGTAGCTATGAACATTTCTAATGCCCCACACCAGGACTACTTGAAGAAACAGCTGTCTCAAAAGCTGTGGCAAGAATAAAAGAATATAAAAAAGACTTTTAGGTTCATGTCAAATGGACTCAGGATCCAAATTGTAGAGGCTCTCACTGGTACAAGATGGTACATTTTACATCAGTATGGAGAAAACCTACAATGGATTGAAACACACAACATATGTTCAATTCATACTGAGTTGTTCTTAATAACAATAAAATAATATCTTGACCCTATTGGCAAAGGTGAAGAAAATGTCATTATTTCAAAGTCTTGTAAAAAGGCAAAAAATTCAAGCATATATGCTGTTGTTCTTTTTAAACTGTGCCACTGGATAATCAAAGAATGGATGAGAGTAAGTTTCTCTTTTGTATGTGAAATGGTGAAAGAATAATAGATAATGTCACTATTTTCACACCTTAACAAATAAACGGATCTAGGCATTAAACATTGATTAATACCAATATTAGAAAAGTGATAAATCCCCAAACTGTGCACAGTTTCATAGAATACAACACAATCTATGAAGTAGAATCTGAATTGGAGCACTCTTTAGATTCAACTCTCAATAATCAGGACATATGGAAAACAGAGGACCATGTAAAACCACCCTGAGGGATGAAAATAATGGAGTTCAGATTACATAGAAGTCTACAAAACAACTAGATTTCTTAAGAAACAAATGATAAGGAAAAAGCAAGGGATATCAAGTCAGAACATACAATCAAAGAGACTGAATAGACCTATTTGAATGTTATTCAAACAAACTTATAGATCTATATTTATAAAGCAATTATAAATTTGAACATTGAGTTGTATTTGATAATTTATGGAATGATTGTAAATTTTAGGTGGGGTAAGAGTATTATGACTATGTTTAAGGAGATATATATATGCTCCTATTTGTATAGTTATATGTATAGTCAGTATTGAATAAAATGTTATGATTTCTTGGGTTTGCTTCAAAATAATACAAGAGAAGAGAAAGTGGGTAGATACAGATGAAACAAGACTGGCTGTGAGTCAAAAATTTTTGAATCTGAGTACACGGGAATCCATTAAACTATTTTGTCTGTTTTAAAATTCTCTGTGATAAAAAGTTTGTATTTAAAAAAGAATATTTAAAAATAAACAGCACTTACAAGACAACTCTATACTAAAGAATGAAAGAATCTTGCATGAATAGAAAAACAAAACTTGCTGTGTTTTTTTAACAGGCACACAAGATATGTAAAGACGTCAATCAATTTTCAGTATAAAGTGTTAATATAATTTCAATCTAAACAACAAGAAATCAAACACAAATGAACAAACAAAGCCCAAAAAACCTCATTTGAAAAGGTATATGTATGAAAATTGCCAAGAAAAACAAATAGGAGTAATAAAAAAATGAATGTGACTTGTCTGGTAAGTTATCAAGCCATAATTGATTACTATGGTAATTAAACAATTAGATAATATAGTAATTAAAATGCTATCATGAAATAATAGATCACTACATCAATAGAAAAAACTAGAGAATACAAAAATTGACCCCAATATTTCATAATGAAAAGATACAAAAGGCATTCAGTGAAAGATGTTGGCATCATTGACTATCGTTTGGAACAAAGTAAACTTAATGATTATTCAAGATCTGAATGTTCATTAGAAGGCTAGAAGTTTAAAAAATATATACTGTGATGGTTCTTTGATCTCCCCTTCCTCTTGCCTGGAACGCTGACAGTGCTCAGTGTTCTTTTCACATAAAAACAACAGTCACACGTCTCAGTCAGGTGGGGCTGCTATGACACGTTATACAGATTGGGTGGCTTAAACAACAAACATTTATTTCTCACAGTTCTGGAGGCTAAGAAGTTCAAGATCAAGGTGCCAGAAGATTCGGTTTCTGGTCAGGGTCCTCTTCCTGTTTACAGAGAGTCACCTTCAGGCTATATCTTCACATGACAGAAAGAGATCATCTCTCTCATGTATATAAGAGCACTAATCCCATTCATGAGGTCTCTATCTTTATGACCTAATTACCTCCCAAAGTCGCTACCTCCAAATACCATCACATTGAGGACTAGGGTTTCAACATATAAATTTGGGGGAGGCATATCTTAACAGCCCATGCTGAGGAGCTCAAAAAATCGGAAGGATCTCTGAAATTAATAACTTCAGATAGCTGCCACACTGGTCCCAAGCTGCCTGCCTTCAGACTTCCTCTTACATAAGAAAAATTATCTATGTAGGTAAGTTGATGCAGTTGGATTTCTGTTTCACATAGCTGAAAGCAATGGAAAGTGGGGTAGCTGTTATGATAGCCATGATGGAAGAGCCCTCAAGATGTTTTCATTCTTTTTGAAAAAAAAAAAATCAAATAGGGACAAAGGACCTTGAGCAAGTATAGTTTAAGAAGATAAATGCTGATACATTTGTACAAAAATAAGCATTTTAAAAATCAATTATAATTTCTCATTAGTCAAATCTTACCTGGTATCTATCACGAATGTTACCATTTAAGATGTAGAATATGTCATCCCTGCACAGGCCGCCTTCTTTCTCACCCAGCCCCAGTGAGTCACACAGAATAAATGGCAGATATTGGCCATCTTTCCCATCTCTAATAAAGTATGTCCTATACTGTAGAGGGGATAAAAGCAATTTTAAAGGTTCATTTTTTATTATAAATTGAGATGAAGTCTATACGTAATAAAGTTGATCTGCAAAAGGCTTTTGAAATATAATTGATTTGAACAGAGAAGCAAAGGCTAGGTGGCCTCAAATGTGCTTACCTTCTTAGATATCCCAGTTCTATTAGTGCCCACCAAAGCCTGATGCGTTGCATGCCCTTGGAAAACAGACCTCACTGAGTTGAAAAAGCTGGACTTCCCAGCTCCAACTGGACCCAGCAGCAGAATTCGTATTTGTGGAACCAGGGATCCATATGGTTCATAAGTTCTCAAGGCAGACAATAAGCTCTTCCTGAGCCTGTTTAGACATGATCATTTTTAACAATTGACTGCGGTTAGGTCATAAAACCTTACTATAAATTTTCTGCGGATTCATTTTTTTCATAGATATAATTTTTTATTAGCAACTTGCCTTCTTACTTAAAAAACATGAGACGAACCTACGTGAAATCCTATTGCAAAAAGAACAAAAAGCAAAAATAATACACAACTAAATTAGTAGACCACATACATCTAAGAATAAATAATCGCTGTATTAAACATAAAGATCAATTATTTAAGACTAAACTTCAGAAGTCAAAATACATGTGACTTCCAAAGTTCATGAAAGTAGACCATTTCTAACATACTCTTGAAGTTCATGGTGGGTATTCCCCACCTGCCAACCACTTCTAGCAACTCTCTAGAGTAGTTGAAACATTAACTGCAAGAATTCTAAGTAAAACACAGACATACAAACAAATAACTATTTTTCTTCAAGTATATCACATTAAAAATTCCTTTCCTCTACTCAGTGTCCTTTTTGTTTTAACATTAATATTATCAAATATTTTATGATTATAAATACAGTTTGTTCTTGATGATCCACAAGTTATGTGTGATAATATGTGTTGCCAATTATATTGATGAGACCTATCATAGAATAAGTCAAAGAAAATGAAGAGAATAATAGAATCTTAAAAACATTGACTTACTCAGTTACCCCTTTTATCTTTCTTTCATCCAGTAAATCTGAGGAAATAATCAAAGAATAATGTAGATTAGAAGTTGTCGAATGATTGGCTGACTGAATGAATGTCAATGAATTCACTAGAGACAAATACAAAAATAGCTTTTCCATGAGAACGGTCCTGTATGGTGAAAAGGGAACAATTTTATAGAGAAAATTCTGATAAATCTCATTAACAACATTTGAAGAGGCTAGCACTAGAGGCAAGGTAGACCCTCTGTACTATCAGCAGATCTCTTCTCATTCAGTTACTCAACAGTGGTATGTGACTCACTCCCACATGGGAATTGAGGGTGTGGGTGTTTTCTAAAGAAAAGAAGCAAGGCCTAGAGATGTGGGAATGTCTAATGTGGAAATGTGGAAATGTCTAATAAGACATTTTCCCCTCCATAATCCAATAGGTGTGATAGGGATAATGTGCAGAGACACACAAACAGAAAACACGGCACTAGATTTTCTCTACAACCTGCTATTAACAATTGGAACTCCGGGAACTTCCAGCTCACTAAATTTTATTCCTGCCCCCAGAAGAGAAGATGAGACTCATGCTTACCCAATCAGAGTGCAGTAAATTGTTCAAGTGTAAGCAGAGGATTTCATTCAGATCAATAAGGCACAAGCTGAGAATTATTTTTTTCTTAGAAAGAGATATTTTTATGTTGAATTTAAAACAGAAAGGATAAGGATAAGCGATGCTACCAATTCTCTCAGTTACAAAAGAAGAATATCATGTGGAACATTTATAAACATGGCCATATGTATGGCAACAAAGTGAACAATATTACCAATAGTAGAAATTGTGAAAACTTCCCTCAATGTCTATAATATAATAAGACTAGCAAAGCGCAATTACAAACAAATGGAAAAGCAACCTCCTGGGAGTTTAAAAAGCACTGTCTTAAATAACTTTAATATCCAAAAAGAAATAAAAAACACAATTACAAATATATAGAAAATAGCAATATGAACATTTATGTCAATTTTATGATAATATCCTATTTCGTTAATGACAAGAAAGAAGGAAAACACTGAAAATTGAAAATAGAATAAAAAAGAATAAAGAAACGGACCTTAGGAATATAAAAAGAAACACAAAATACAAAACCAAATTTTACAACTTGAAGAAAGGATAAATTAATATAGTAATTATTTTAAAATGTAAAATAAATAAATTATCTTGTTTTATCAAAGAAAGACAAATTTGTTAAATGTCATACCACCACTCGTATACCAAAATGGTTACATAATCTAAAAAAAAAAAACAAAACGCTGAAAAGAATTTGGGGTGACAGAGACCCTTGTACACTACTTATAGTTATAGAAATTGATATAAAACTATGTTGGGAAATGTCGTCAGTGTGAAGATGAACATATACATACCCTGTGATCCAGCAATTTCATTGATATTTTCTTCAAAAAACAATTATATGTGTGAACCAAAAGATATATACAATAATATTTATAGCAGTATTATTTGTAATAGTTCCAAACTGGAAAACACAAATGTCCACCAGTGATGATTGGATAAAATACTGTGAAGGATGCACCACAATGGAATACTGCATGAATGAAAAGGAACAAACTATTGCTACATACAAGAATAAGGATGAATCACTATGAAGGTAGGAGTTAAAGTAGCTAGACAGACACATTCGCTCACTTTACCAGGGAACACTCTCAGGGAAAAAAGGAAGACAACTGACCAAGTCTAATTTTCTAATAAGTATGCTAGTAATTTTATGTCCTGGTGAATAGACTAATGATATTTCCCACACGGAATAGTACACATCTCTTGAACATCCTTAACAGGATATCAGTAACTAAGAATTACTTAGTAAATAAATCTAGATTCTGGCCGGGCACGGTGGCTCACGCCTGTAATCCCAGCACTTAGGGAGGACAAGGCATGCGGTTACTAGGTCAGGAGTTCGAGACCAGTCTGGTGAGCACAGTGAAACCCCGGCTCTACTAAAAATACAAAAAATTAGCTGGGGATGGTGGTGCATGCCTGTAATCCCAGCGACTCAGGAGGCCGAGGCAGGAGAACTGCTTGATCCTGAGAGGAGGAGGTTGCAGTGAGCTAAGATCTTGCCACTGCACTCTGCACTCCAGCCTGGGTGACAGAGACTCTGTCTCAAACAAACAAAAAAAAAATTACAGATTCCATGGATTAAGGGGGCATTCTTGCCTCCCTGGAAGCTGTTATATAATTTTTCAATATGTAAAGTGGCCCATAAACTTCACTTAAAACCCCTGCCTATTTTTCTGGCCCTTAAAGCATATGTCCCATATGGAAAGGAAAGATTTAGGGAGCCGCACAGAATATCTAAGTACTCTTTCTGCCTTTTCTTAGATTTCCGATTGCCCCATCTTTGAAATTACTAATACAGCAATATTAGATATTATGCTCAGTGAAATAAGCCAGACACAAAAGGACAAATACTACATAATCCCACTTACATGAGGAATCTAAAATAGTCAAATTCATAAAAGCAGAATTAGAATGGTGGTTTGCTAGGGACTGTGGGAAGGAAGAAAGGAGAATATATTTGTCAAAGGGCATAAAGTTTTACTTATGCAAGATAATTAAGTCCCAGAGATCTACTGTACAGCATAGTACCTACAGCAACAATACTATATGGCAGGGGTCGCCAATTCCCGGGGCCACGGAGCCTAGGCTGTCTGTGGCCAGTTCAGATCCAGGCCACAGAGCAGGACTTGAGCGGCAGGAGTGTGAAGCTTCATCTGTATTTACAGCTTCTCCCCATTGCTCATATTACAGCCTGAGCTCTGCTTCCTGTCAGATCAGCAGCGGAATTAGATTCTTATAGGAGCGCAAACCCTATTATGAACTGTGCATGAGGGATCTAGGCTGCATGCTCCTTATGAGAATCTAATGCTTGATGATTCACTGTCTCCCATCATCCCCCAGATGGAACTGTTTAGTTGTAGGAAAACAAGTTCAGGGTTCCGGCTGATTCTACATTACAATGAGTTGTATAATTATTTCATTATATATTACAACATAATAGCAATAGAAGTAAAGTGCACAATAAATGTAATGCGCTTGAAACCAACCCCCCCACCACCAGTCTGTGGAAAAATTATCTTCCACGAAACTGGTCCCCGGTGCCAAAGAGGTTGGAGACCACTGCTGGTATACGGTAAGTCATCACTTAACATCATCATGGATTCTTGGAAACTAATTTTACGCAAAACAACATATAGCATGTCCTTGACTAATGTCTTTCTTCCATAATGATGAGGGAAATAAATTGGTTTCCTTCTAAGTTGTTTCACTTAAGTCACAGTTTCCAAGAACCTATAGTTCACGTTAACTGAGGATTTACTGTACTTAAAAATGTGCTAAGAGGATAAATCTTATGTTAAGTGTTCTTATCATAAATATACATTTTATTGACCCTGGTTGTCTCTTAGCAAACAATTTGTGTCCGGGTTTCAATCTGAACCATCCAAATTATGGTTGAGTGAAAAGGTCATTTTTCCTTAAAGAGATGAATTGGTTTAAACCAACCAAACATGCAAGGGAGAACTCTATACAGGATAATCTGATTAAACCTACCTTCACATCGAAAAACTTCACAATCCTGAATAGAAATAGTACAATTTTGAACAAGTCCAAGATCTTCCGTTGTCTTTGAGCCCATAATCACTTTTCTATTTCTTAACTCTATCTGGAAATTAGTTGTGGAGTTATATTTTACATTGTCATGACAAAACAGTCTTTCTGGTGTACATAGTCCTAGTTCCCATTCTGAAATTTTAGTCTCTTGAAGTGCAAGAAGGATGATGGAGGCAGCCTTTCTTTCCTGGTAACTCTTTTCTGCATATGCTCCAATAATACGATGTTCACCATAAATCACTGTTAGAGTAGGCCCTTGATTATAACATCTGTCAAGTAAATCTCCACTACAGAATCCATGGACACTGCCCTTATAGAGAAGGCTAAGCCGCTTTCCTCCAAAATGATTTTGCAGGGTCTTTTCATGCAACCATGCCAAACGAGTTGTCACTGCCATACTTCTTGATCTAGTGGCAAATCAGATATATTTTCCATTAAATATTAAGAAACAGATAATATATACTGTTATAAACCTTGCATTTATGCCTCTAACATATTCTACATAACATAAAAAATGACAAAACAAGGATGAACAGAAAAATCATTAGCTAATTTTTTCCTATAAATCATTGCTTTTTAAATTAAAACAGAAACAGAGACTGGCAAGTGACACTGTCACCTAAGAGAGAGAGAAAGAGACAGACTAATGTCAGCTAGGAAAAAGGAAAAGCAGAAAGACATTTACCTGTTGTAGTGTCGGTAGTATCAGCTAGAGCTGAGGGTAGCTGCTCTGTCTGGATAGCTGGGCAGGCACAAAATGGGCAAAGGAAATTATTCTGTAGCCTTGAAGTTTCAAAGACTCAGAGAAAGGAAACTGAAACTCAGTATGCCCAGCCCACTTGACAGCATGCCAACTTCTCTCAACAAAGGAGCATAAGCTGATCCAGCTTTTAGACAGTAAATTTATATAAAAAATAGTATTGAAAGAATCAAGGAATTGAAGTCAGAGGGAAGAAAACATAACAGCTCACTGACTTTTAAAAAAATCTTTTTATTTAAGGAAAATGCAACCAATTTCTGTATATGGACATACAAAAAGTATTGTGTATTCTACCTCTAGAATATGTATCTCAAATTAATTTACATCTCTTAATTCCTGCTATCCATGAATTCTGCACTAGTATACTTCCTTATATAGAATGTTATTTTAGCCTCCAAATTTGTTCCTCTGTTTTTCTACTTGCCCCCTCTCTTCTCACCACAGGAAAATGAGGAGACTTCATTTATAAGACATAAAACAACCCATGTCAATTTCACAGTAAAGCCCCTTCTCTAACTTCACATTGCTAAGGATCATAAATTTGTGTCCTATAGGCAGAATTCAATCTGCAAATTTGTTTTGTAGGGCCAATGCAATACCTTTATATTTTTTAATTTTTGAATGTGAATGCTTTTATATCATTGGGCATCCACTCTCCAGTCCTCCTTTGTCCCCTCTTGCTTTATACCTGACTGGTTCTAACAAATTTAAATTGCCTGCCTGCCCTAAAAAGGTTTTTTTAATTTGCTGGCCCTATTAAAAACAATAGCACCATCAAATGAAAATATTTTAAGCAGCTTATGGGGTACTATTTACTTTGCTTTAAAAATTATAATATTATAGACTTATTATTCGTAAGGTAATTTACATGTATCCCATGTGTTTATCTTAATAACTTTTTGATGAAGACACCAATATTATTGCCGCTTTTCAAATAAATAAACAGAGTTTTGGAGTGTAAGTGAGAAAAAGAGGAGGAATAGGAGTGATGAGGGAAGAAATCTCCTGCTTTAGACAGTATAATCAGGAAAGGTCTATTTAATGAGATGTCATTGGAGAAGTGTCCTGAATAGAGTGAGAGGGAGTACCATGAAAATATCTAGGAAAAGAGCTTTATAAGCAGAGAGAATGGCAAGGATAATCACCCCTGTGGCAGCTTGTTGCAGTAAGAAGCTCAGTATGGTTGGAGCAGAGTTAAGTTTGGAGAATGGCAGTGAACAGGAGAATGGAGGGACCAGATAGAGATAATTGAATTATGGGGGCAATTCTGATCATAGTGAGTTAGTTCTTACAATACCTGATGGTTTTATAAAGGGCTTCCCCTTTCTCTGGGCACTCATTTCTCTCTTCTGCTGCCATGTGAAGAAGGACATGTTTGCTTCCGTTTCCTACATAATTATAAGCTTCCTGAGGCCTCCTCAGCTCTTTCCTTTATAAATTACCCAGTCTCAGGCCGTTCTTTATAGCAGTGTGAGAACACACTAATACAGTAAATTGGTACAGAGGGAGTGGGGCACTGCTATAAGGATACCCAAATGTGGAAGTGACTTTGGAACTGAGTAACTGGTAGAGGCTGGAACAGTTTAGAGGACTCAGAATAAGAGAGAAAAATGTGAGAAAGTTTGGAATTTCCTGGAGACTTGGAGGGCTCAGAAGATAGGAAGATGTGGGAAAGTTTGGAACTTCCTAGAGACTTGTTGAGTGGCTTTGAACAAAATGCTGATGGTGATATGGACAATAAAGTTTAGGCTGAGGTGGTCTCAGATGGAGATGAGAAACTTGTTGGGAATTGGAACAAAAGTGACTCTTGCTGTGTTTTAGCAAAGAGACTTGGCAGCATTTTGCCCCTGCCCTAGAGATCTATGGAACTTTAAGACTGAGAGAGATGATTTTATGTATCTGGCAGAAGAAATTTCTAAGTGGCAAAGCATTCAAGAGAAACCAGAGCATGAAAGTTCAAAAATATGTAGGCTGACCGTGGAATAGAAAAGAAAACCCCATTTTCTGAGGAGAAATTCAAACTAGTGGCAGAAGTTTGCATATATAACAAGAAATGGAATGTTAATTACCAAGACAATGGGAAAAATGTCTCAAGGGCATGTCAGAGATCTCATGGCAGTCCCTTCTATCACAGGCCTAGAGGCTGGTTTCCTGGGCTGGGTCCAGGGACCTGCTGCTCTGTGTAGCCTCTGGACTATGTCCTGGCCGCTCCAGCCATGGCTAAAAGGAGCCAATGTACAGCCAGGACGTTGCTTGGGAGGGTGCAAATCCCCAGCCTTGGCATCTTCCATATGGTCTTGGTCCTGTGGGTACACAGAGAACAAGAACTGAGGTTTGGGAACTTCTGCCTAGATTTCAGAAGAGGTATGGAAACACCTGGATGTCCAGGTAGAAGTCTGCTGCAAGGGCAGAGTCCTCATAGAGAACCTCTGTTAGGGCAATGTGGAAGGGAAATGTGGGATCAAAGCCCCCGCACAGAGTCCCCACTAGGGCACTGCCTAGCGGAGCTGTGAGAAGAGGGTCACTGTCCTTCAGATCCCAAAGTGGTAGATACACTGACAGCTTGCACTGTGTGCCTGGAAAAGCTGTAGAAACTCAATGCTAGCTGTGAAAGCAGCTCAGGTGAGGGTGCTGTATCCTGCAAAGCCACAGGGACAGAGCTTCCCAAGGCCCTGGGAGCCCACCTATTGCATCAGCGTGACCTGGATATAATACATAGATTCAAAGGAGATCTTTCCAGCTGGATTTCAGACTTGCATGGGGCCTGTAGTTCCTTTGTGTTGGCCAATTTCTCCCATTTGGAATGAATGCATTTACCCAATGTCTGTACCCTCACTGTATCTAGGAAGTAACTAACTTGCTTTTGGTTTTACAGGCTTATAGGCAGAAGGGACTTGCCTTGTCACCAATGAGACTTTGGGCTGTGGACTTTTGGGTTAATGCTGAAAATAGTTAATATTTGGGGGGACTGTTGGGAAGGTGTGATTGTGTTTTGAAATGTGAGTACATGAGATTAGGGAAATGGTCAGGGGTGGAATGATATGGTTTGACTGTGTCCCCACCTAAATCTCATCTTGAATTTTAGTTCCCATAATCCCCATTTGTTGTAGGAGCGACTAGGTGGAAATAATTAAATCATGGGGACAGTTTCCCCCATCCTGTTCTTATCATAGTGAGTTAATTCTCATGAGATCTGATGGTTTTTTAAGGGGCTTCCCTCTTTGCTAGGCACTCATTTTTCTCTCCTGACACCACATGAAGAAGAAGATATTTGCTTCCCTTTCCACCATGATTGTGAGTTTCCTGAGGCCTCCCAGCTCTGTGGAACTTTGAGTCAAATTAAAACTCTTTCCTTTATAAATTACCCAGTCTTGGGCAGTTCTTCATAGCAGCATGAGCATGGACTAATACAGTGTCCATTTGAAATGTCTACAGTTATATCATGCACATGAATCACTTTTTTTTCCTCTCTCTCTCTGACCTTCTTGGCCATGGGAATTTGATAATCCCTTCTCTATAAATCTAACACTGATCATCTCTCTGGTAGAAGGGGGTCTCATACACTCAAAGCACCATAAATTAATTTATCTTTGTATGCTTATTTAAATTGCAGCAATCCATTCACATGTTAATTCCTTCTTTACCACTTCATCAAAACAGAAGACAAATGAGCTCAGTGACTTGAACATATGTTTCTTTGCATTTATTTAAAAAATCTGTCAGGTATTATCATGGAATGTGCAAAAGAAATCAATTTTTAAAAACGAAAAAATATATTTACACATAATTGTTTAGCACAGCTTGTTACTTGACCTCCCCACCTCTACCCCATACCCTCAATTTTTGCAATTTTGCTTACACTGCACTTCCTGTCTTGGAGCCTGAAACAGTTTGAGTCTATTTGCTTGAATTGTGTTGAAGAAGGAAGTGGGATTGCAGGAGGGTGCAACTGAATATTGACTGTATTTCCACATCTATGATCTCACTGGTCCAAGTGGCCTGCATTTTCTCCAACATCAGAGAAAGATTTTATGAGGGTTTACAACTGGTATGCAGGTTTTTATCTTCCTTACATTGATGGTAAAAATTAGATGTATTTAGTCTACTGTCCTCCACAAATTGGTCCATAAACTCATTAGATTAAGAATGGGATTTGAGGGCTTCCAAATTTCCATGGCTTTTGGTTGCAGGACCCCCTGAAGACTTTGATCAGCCTTGTCATAAGGTAGCCTAAGGCTACCTTAGCGTTAGATTGAGTTATGTTGCTAAAAGATAACTATTCATCAGCTGATCATTAAGCATACGGGGCTTATTCAGCTCCCCCTATCAATTTGTGTCAAAATAAATTAATTGTGGACCTGTCTTGTTTTATGAGAAAGCAATGTGATAGTCTTTAAATTTATCTTTCTAAACTAAATACAGGTTTACACATTACCCAGCACAGTAACTCCTCTTGATATTCTTGACCTAAAAGGAAGAAGTGTAGGAAAAACTGATATAAGTAGAGAGGTTATTTGGGCCAAGCATGAGAGTTACAACCCAACTGCATGGAGTCAAGTTGCCCTGAACAATATGCATTCTTATTAGCAACAGTTACAAGTAGGTTTTCAAAGAAAAAGAAGAGGCAGTTCCTAAGTTATTTACCATGAATTTATATTAAAACAGCATAAGCTATCAATTGGCTATAAATTGCTCTCTGAATCAAATTCCAAGAACATGAAGATAATAGGCAAGGCAGCTAGTCAGGAACAAAATGGCATTAAACAATTGCCCCCAGCTATGGTTGTGGAGGGGCACTGTGGCACACAGGAAGCAAGACTAAAGGACCATACTTATGTCTCTCTGGGCCTGCATATCTCACAGAACTCAAACTGCTCTATTTTTCTTTTCTCAATATTTTATTGAGGTAGATAGTGGGTGAATTTGCACAAAGCTACAAATTCCTATTGGAAAGAGTCACTTTCTAATGCAACAACCTAACCTACCCATGCACACCACAAAGGCTCTAGCACTGACATTTCAACTGTCTCCACAACATCACTCTCATTTTAGGATGATATTCTACCTCCCAACACACTTATAGTTCATCTGCTATACTCCTTAGCACTGTCTTTGACTGAGCTGTACAGCTTGCTTAACTGTAAAGTATGTAAAGTTTCAAAAATCCTGGATGACCTCTAAAATGTAGCAAAACGATAATTCCCACTACCACTCAGGTTGGTAGAGAAAGATCAGGGAAATCCACAAAATGGAAAATATCCTCCCAGACAAAAGATGTCTCCCCCTTTTTGAGGCCTCCTCACCAATATTTCCTAACCTAAATTTCAAATATGTATTTAACTCCATTTGATGTTTAAGTGTTTCCAAAGCAGTATAGAGCCAGAGGATAAGAAGCTGTGGTGTCATTGTTATGCACGTCTGTGTGAAGAGACCACCAAACAGGCTTTGTGTGAGCAATAAATCTTTTTAATCACCTGGGTACAGGCAGGCTGAGTCCGAAAAGAGAGTTAGCGAAGGGAGATAGGGGTGGGGCCGTTTTATAGGATTTGGGTAGGTAAAGGAAAATTACAGTCAAAGGGGGTTGTTCTCTGGCAGGCAGGGGTGGGAGGGGTCACAAGGTGCTCAGTGGGGGAGCTGGTGAGCCAGGATGAGCCAGGAAAAGGAATTTCAAAAGGTGATGTCATCAGTTAAGGCAGGAACAGGCCATTTTCACTTCTTTTGTGGTGGAATGTCATCAGTTAAGTCAGGAACCAGCCATCTGGATGTGTACATGCAGGTCACAGGGGATATGATGGCTTAGCTTTGGCTCAGAGGTCTGACAGTCATTTTGCTAATACTGTCCATTTTAGCACAAAAAGGAGAACTTAGTGTCAACATTTATGCTCCTAAAGGATGTTGGGTCAAATTAAATGTTCCTCATTGTTTCTCTTTCTTGATCTCTCCTTTACTCCTTCTCTTCCTTGCAGGGTCTCCATCTCCTTCATAAGGGCACACTCTGTTACCCCTTTAAACAAAATAAAAAGTCTTACATTCTGCCCAGATTTTTTTCAGGCTCCACCAAAGGAATGGGTGAATTATGATCCAAAAGTTGGTGAGGATGATGGTTAGCCTTCAATCACCTTCAGTCTCCCAACCAACAATGGCCAAGGCTTGGTTTTTCCCTGGATTACATGGAGAAAATCATGCCCTACTTTTTGGACCCGTTGCTTCCACATTTGTATGGTAACTGTGAAACCATCCTAATGAACAGCAAACATTAACCACTAAATAAAAGGTAGACTTTGAATAAAAGCACAGCTAAGTACTAACCAGCTTGCCCTTTAAGCCAATTCCTTACTGCTACTTATAGCATGACTGTTAGCTCCTTTCCTTATAGTTTCTTTCTGCCTAAAAGTCACATAGACGTGGTCACAAGGCACTAACTTCCCTTAGTTATTTCTATAAGATAATATATGTAACATTAAGAAACATCAAGTTTCTTTCTAAAACTTTTTCCAGATCCTGGAATCCCATGGGTCTGCTGACACCAGTCAGTCTGATGACCCTCTCCATGGAACTACCTCAGCAAAAAAAAAAAAAAAAAAAGAATCCAGTTTTCATCTCTGTATGTTTCATTTCATTCCCTATTCCCCAACCAATCAGCAGCTCCAGACCTTCACCCCCTTACCTGCCTTTCTCTTAAAAACCCTAAACTGAGACCCAGCAGGGAGGTAGATTTGAGGTTTCCTCAACCTTCCTCAATTTGCTGCCATTAAATTATTAAACTCTTTCTCTACTGCAACACCTGCTGTTTTGGTGTATTGGTGTGTTACTCTGCAACAGGCACAACACTGATGAGCCTAAAATGACTTTTTCTGGTTGCCTCTCTAATTTTGTTCCCAGTATCTACTTGCAGGCCTACTCCTCAATTTCCATGGTTCTCCTATTCCTAGGTCTTTTTTAAAGAGTTAATTTCTTCCACTGAATTGTGTCTCCTGAACATTCATTCACTTGAGCACAACTTCACTTGCAGCTTGGCTTTAGAAAATATTCCATAACTGGACATAAGAAACTCTTGCTTTCTTAATATCTATGACTACCCAAAAGATGAGTATAATTCTTATTAAAACTAAATTAGACTGTCAGAATGTGGATAACTATTGAACCAAAGCATATTATTTTGAAGAAGACTAAGAATTTGGAGAAGAGGATTAAGAAGTCTTTAAGGAAGAAAAAAACACGAAAGCTATCTTTTGGGAATTTTGTTTTTCTTTCTTAATAGCACTAGCTTTCACAGCTACTAAGAGGACTTCAGAATTATTTGGAGCATGAGTATAAGAACCTTCTTACTGATTTGCACCAGTAACCTAAATTGAAGGACACATGGCTAGGATGATTTGGAATTCAATTAATGAAAATAAGGCATGGGTTTGTTAGAAGAGGAATATTTATTTTTTTCATAGAAATAAAAAGTAAATTGTTAAAAAAAAAGTTGGCTCATTTTTATTAATTCTATTACTTACAGTAATTCATATTTTCATTCAGATATAAATGAAACACTCTTCCTTCTTTATTTTTAGTTCCTCTCCCCAGCTTTTCATTCTCTTTCAGTCTTCCTTTCTGTTTTTTGTTTGTTTGTTCTGTTTTCTTTTGTTTTTTTGAATCAGGATCTTACTCTTTCTCCCAGGCTAGAGTGCAGTGGCACAATCTCAGCTCACTGTAGGCTCCACCTCCAAGGCTCAATCAATCATCTTGAGTAACTGGGACTACAGGCACGTGCCATCATACCCAGCTAATTTTTGTGGGTTTTGTTTCGTTCTTTGTGTGTGTGTGTACTGGAGATGGGGTTTCTTTCTTTTTTTTTTTTATTATTATACTTTAAGTTCTAGGGTACATGTGCATAACGTGCAGGTTTGTTACATATGTATACTTGTGCCATGTTGCTGTGCTGCACCCATCAACTCGTCAGCACCCATCAACTCGTCATTTACATCAGGTATAACTCCCAATGCAATCCCTCTCCCCTCCCCCTCCCCATGATAGGCCCCAGTGTGTGATGTTCCCCTTCCCGAGTCCAAGTGATCTCATTGTTCAGTTCCCACCTATGAGTGAGAACATGAGGTGTTTGGTTTTCTGTTCTTGTGATAGTTTGCTAAGAATGATGGTTTCCAGCTGTATCCATGTCCCTACAAAGGACACAAACTCATCCTTTTTGATGGCTGCATAGTATTCCATGGTGTATATGTGCCGCATTTTCTTAATCCAGTCTGTCACTGATGGACATTTGGGTTGATTCCAAGTCTTTGCTATTGTGAATAGTGCCGCAGTAAACATACGTGTGCATGTGTCTTTATAGCAGCATGATTTATAATCCTTTGGGTATATACCCAGTAATGGGATGGCTGGGTCATATGGTACATCTAGTTCTAGATCCTTGAGGAATCGCCATACTGTTTTCCATAATGGTTGAACTAGTTTACAATCCCACATATTGCCCAGGCTAGTTTTCCTTTCTATATAGAGAAAAATTTAAAGTGAATGTGATGTTGGAGAGGGTGGGAGGGAAAAGTAATGGTAAGTATGCTTGCTCATTACCAGGCACTGTGCTAAGTTCTGTGAATACATAGATAAGTAAAATCCACACTGTTTCTCAAAGAACTCACAATCTATTTAAGAAAGCAGATGTCCACACAATAATTTTATAACTATTATTCAATGTGATTAGTACTCACATAGCTCTATATAGAGTGTTATAGAAGAATAAATAAAAGAATATCTCATTTTTCCTGGAGTGGTTTAAAAAGGTGTCACTGAAAACTGAATTGTAAATGGTACAGAAATATGGAGGGGTGGTTTGTGGTAGGACCTATCTTAGCCCACTGCTTCTCAGGTTTGGCCTTTGAACTTGAGATACGACTGTTCCAAGGACAGAAGGCAAAATGAACAAAAGCAAAATCTGAAGGAGGCTGTCAATAGAGATTGACTCTCATTGAGGCACACCAATACAGGCTGGGCCAAATGTCAGAATCAAGGCAACTTATATCAAATGCAGGGCTGTAACACTCTCTCAATTGCACCTGAAAATGAAACAAACAAGAGTGGAAATTAAGCACATATCCTAATGCAACTTTCAGGACTAGGGCATGCAGATGGGCCCCAGTCATCTAATAACTGATGTATAACTTAAGATTTTTCAAAAGGTACCAGTGATTTATGAGAGGGAGAGAAAAGGACCAGATTACCAGTTTCCTCAAGAGGCAAATCTTCTAAGAAATCATCTGCAGCCCGCAGCATCTGCCTCAGTGCAGAGAGGATCAGAATATCATTCATGGGGTCCAGTTCCAAATCTGAAGCATAATTTCCAACCATCAAAATACTGGAAATAGGAACGCCTAGCATTTTATGGACATTCATGACCTGTGGAAAGTATATTTAAAAAATACTTACGTCTTGTATTTAATATTTGAAATTTGACCAATTTTAAATACAATTTAAGAAAGAAACCCAAAAAGCAATGGCTTAATAAGTTATCTTGGGAAGATACTAATAATTCAGATCATTGCAGTTTTAAGTGTGATATAAATTTGAATTAATCAAGCAATTGATTCCATTCTTCATTTCCCTGCAAATATGTTGTGTGAGCATATATACACATACAGACACACACACACCCCCACACACAAGTATGATTGTGGTACTATTACAATAATATCTGGTTATGATCAGCATTCTTTACCTGCCTTTGAGAAGTCATAGATCTACTCAGGTTTAAAAAGTTGTCTTGAAGAATCTCACTGCAATCATCCACTTTAGTAAGCAAGGCTACATGTGCTACACCTATATCAAATAGATAAATCAGTTATTTTATACCATAAATAGCAATGTATCAACAAGTTATTAAATACGTGTGAAAGCAACTCTATAGGGTGATGTGATTTTGAGAGCTGAAGAATGAAATATCCCCAACACATCTCAATATGGAGCCTGAAGCTTTTCTAGCGGAGAAATGATCTTTGGTCTTTTTTTCCAACATGAGACAGCATTTTTCAATGCAACTAAATTCATACTAAATTGCAATTATCTGCTATTCCATTCAACTAGTTTGTTTTAAATTGGCCAAGGGGAAAAAAGGGGGTTGCTGGACTTTGGGGACTAAAAAGAACCACAAGAAAAAGAGGGAGTGAGGAGGGTTGTGTATGAGCATTTGTGAGAGCAAACTGTACTGATTTCACAGTTCTAATAAGGACCTATGCCTTTCTCCCTCAAACCACAGGGATTGAATTAGTAAATCACACTTGACTTCTAAACGAATCAAAATTCTACTATGCTAACAACTGCTTATGAGGAAAATATAAGATTAATTTCAAATGCCTGTCAAGAAAACTCCCAGAACTCTTTTAACAGAGTTTTTAGTACCTTCTTCCTACCGAAATCTAAATGATTTCTTTTACTACCTTCTCATCATTCAGGTTTCAGAGGAATAACTAGCAAAGTTGGCCAATTAATACCTAGGTTCTGGTAGAGGGCAGTTCTCAATTGATACCTATAATTTTTTTCAACCTCTGTTACAATGTAATTCTTCTCTTTCAAAATTAATACAATGTCCTTTCAGAGGTCCTAAGTCGGCACAGTTAGTTGCATTAAGCATTGCCATCCAGCATGCCAAGCATAATGTATTGCCATACGTCCTTGAAAACTCATTTTAAAACTTAGCATTTCTCTTTTACCCCAAACCCTCCATAATTTTAAAGCTGTTAAGTGATTATATAAGCTTATATATTTACATTGTGTATATCTAATGTTCACTACTCAGACATTTGTTAGATGGTTTGTTACGTTCAGATGCAAAACTTATCCCCATTTTATAAGAACAGAAGACTAAAGTTCAGTGAAATTCAGTTACCTTCCTCAAGGTCAAAGTTTACTACTATTTAAAAATGTGGTTCACTTAACCAAGACCATGCTCTATACATTAAAATGCATAGCACTTTTCGGAACCTAAATATGTCATATTTATACTGATAAAGTAAGTGATGAGGCTTTGGAGTATAAATGCCCCAACAATTCTTTATATGAAAATATTTTCAAACTTCAGTGAGAGTACTTCCAGTTCTGAATCAAATGGAGTAGACACACTTTTCCTTCTTCTTTACACTAAATATGGCTAAAATCTCTGGACATTATACATAAATCAAACATAAAGATTGAAAAGTGCAGAGGATGCAATTTGGCTAGAAACCTTGAGATCCAAGAAACAATACACAGATGAGTTCTCTAGGTTTTCTTTTTACTTCATATGTCCTAGATTGGCTTTTAGAGACACTCACAACTGAAAAATGCCAATTAGAGCCAGCAACAAGAAAAAAAAAGTAAAGTAAAACCTGTTCCATCTAGTCAAAGCATAAGAAAAAGGGCAGTGTAGCAAGACAGAGAACTTTCAGAAAATAGCCACACTACCTGAGCCAAACACCACAGAAATCACTTACCCAGATCCATGGATATGTCCTTCCCTTTCCCAACCTTCGTCCTTAGCCAAGGTAGTATCAGAGAGGAAAAAAAAAATGTAGGGAGCCAGCACATTTATACCTGCACTATACTAACAAGGTCTGTCCTGATGGTGTCGAGGGAGGCTACTTGGGGATCCTAGACTTCCACCAAATCAGCGGCAATGAGGTGCTCTTCTCCCTCTCTGGCAGTGTCAGAGGAGAACAAATGAGAAGCTAGAACTCTAGCCTTCATTAACCTTAGATGCAAGGAGGCTTCTAGCCCTGTGATGTCAGGGGATCCTATGTGGGGCGCAGTAAGAAAGTGCCCTTTCTCTAGGGATGTCAAACAAGGACTCATGGGAAACCTGTACTTTCCGTCCTACCAGTATCAGAATATGTCTGCGAAAACACAAGATGTAAGATCCAGAGTCACAGAATAAAATATCAAAGACACAATTAAAGATCATTTGTCACATCAAAACCCAGGAAATTCTCAACTTGAATGAGAAAAGCTAATCAGAAGATCCTGACCCTAATTAGATGACAAAGATGTTAGAATTATTTGGCAAGGATTCTAAAGCAACCATCATAAAAATGCTTAAGAACCAAGTAGGAACATGCTTGAAGCAAATGCAGGAAGTGGAATGTCTCAGCAAAGAAACAGAAGATATGAAAAAGAATCAAATAGAAATTTTAGAACTAAAAGAATATTATACCCAAGATAGGAAAAACGATAGATATGCTCAAAAGCAGAATGGAGAGGACAAAGTAATGAACAAATGAATTTAAAGATATAACAATAGAAATTACCCACTCTGAAAAATAAAGAGCAAATAGATATAAAAATAAATAAATAAATAAACAGTGAGACTATAACAAAATATCTAGAATTCATGTTCCAGAGTTCCAAAAAGAGAGATGAGATATGGCAGGGCTAGAAATCGTCATAATAGTAAGACAACTGCAGACTGAGAGAAACTATTTGCAAATGATATATCTTACAATTGACTCATATTTAGGATTTACAGATCTTTCAAAATTCAAGTTCTAAAAAACACAAATAATCCAATCAGAAAATAGTCAAAAGACGTGAAGAGACATTTCACTGAACAAGCTATACAGAAGGCAAATAAGCACATGAGGAGATATTCAATGTC